ACCTAAAATACTCACATGAATATTTGACTGAAAATTAATTATTTAAATTTGTTTTCAAAAAAGTAAGCATAATTTTGTATTTGCTTTTTCAGACCAATGGAAAACCTCCGAGGATTCACACGTGAGACCTTCATTGACATAACAGCCAACATTGAAACTCAAGAACATCGACGTAGACAAAACAATATATTTGATTATCCAGAACATCCCAGGGCATTCACCACAGATGATGTTGAATGTTTTTTCAGCATGACACGTAGACAGCTAGGAGACACATTTATGTTAAAAGAGTTCAAGTCAGGATGGCGGAATATTATTCGAGAATTTTGTAAAAGACTTGACCCAAACATACCATTTTATTATTGGACTCAAAACGAACGCTTTAAATTAGAACATGCATCGTTTGATGAAGACAATGGTCAAGATAGACGACTTCATGTAGGACAGCAATATATTCACTGCAGACAGTAGCTTTCTTCCAGCACGTAATAAACAGAGCATAGGACAGAGACTGTTTCGTTTAGATGTTGGCTTACCTCCTGTATCAGAACACCAGCAGCCTTTATATTTAAGAGATATATATATATACCATTAAAGCAGACTGCAAATTGATCTTAAGCACAAAATATATTGTGCAACTATTTAAACGAAAAAAATAGCATCTCAGCAATTGCAACATTCAGAATGATATTCCAGGAACACATATGCAACCCTGGTATTAGGGTTTCTAGAGGAAACTTTATACAATGTTATTGAAACGAAGCATGGTCGCGACTTCCGTGAATTTATTGAAAAAAACTTTCTACGTTTTCTAGATGATTGTTTCATCATATGGCCAGCCGACTTGTGTGTAGATGAGTTATTTAGTGGTCTTAATTCTTTGAACCCTTCTTTTCGTTATACTATGGAAGTGAGTGAGTCTTCGTTACCATTTTTGGATGTGCTTGTCATTTTAAAAGACAATATTGTTTCTACTGATTTATATACAAAACCTACAGATTCTCATAATTATTTGAATTTTTATTCAAACCATTCTAAACATGTTAAAGTAAATATTCTTTTCAATTTAGCATCGTGTATCGTTACTATAGTGAGTAATAAGATTACAATGAAGAAAAGGCTTGATGAACTTACTACATTTTTGAAATCTCAAGGATATCCTGAAAGTATTGTTGAAAAAGGTAAAAGTATGGCAATTTCAAAGGGACCTATTACAGCTCGCATTCGTGTTGTAGATAATATGGCTATAATGCCATTTGTTTCAACTTTCAACCCTCGTAATTTCAACATATTTCCAGTAATCCGGAACAGATGTAAAGATTTGAAACGAAGTTGCGAACGTATAAGAAAAAATTCTTGGATCGTTGTGCTTTAATAAACAGCAAAAGACAACCAAAAAAATCTTAAACGTATTCTAACTAGATCAAGGTTTGGAAGTAATCATCTTAATCCATGTGTATCAAAATGTAATACACCTCGTTGTGGTACTTGTAACCTAATTATAGAAGGAAGTGATGTTAAGTTCAAAAATGGTTTTAGCTTTAAGGTTAAAAGCATATGAATTGTAAGTCTAGTAATGTAATTTACGCAATGATTTGTAACAATTGTTCTGAATTTTATATCGGTCAAACGGGCGGTGAACTACGAACAAGGATGACTGTACATAGACAACAAATACGAATAGACAGCTTAAGATTTTTACCAGTTAGTAAACACATACATGCTTGCGCTGATGACAAATTTAAAATATTTCCTATTTATCAAATGAACAACGCAGACGTAATCAAACGTGAGGCTAAGGAAGCTGAATTCATCAGACTTCTTAGACCCTGCTTGAACAGTACTGTTTGACAAATATTTTATAATGTTCTAACTTCATGTTACGTTTAAGGTAGAGAGTACTACACGAGTTTCGATCAACGTGTTTTATCATTTTTATTTTTGTCTATTGAAGAGTTATGTTTGAAAAGTAGTGACATCGGTAGTGTGTCGGATCAGTAATGTAATGGTCGCCCAGGTTTACACAGGTAGTGTTTTTATTTTTATTTTTACTTATTTATTATTAATATTATTATTATTGTAAGTTATAGTATTACTAGTATATCTAAATCCTAAACAAATAATACTCTTTGCCTTAAGACTATAATTAATATATTTATATTGCTGTGATATCGTTATGGCGGGTACGTATATGGCAGACGTCGTTATAGAACTAGTATGTGACGTCACAACATATACCTCAAATAAACAGTCTGCAGAATCTCCTAGAAGAGATGAAAGTACTAAAGACTCGTTGTTAAGAATTTTTCTTTTTATAATTTTTCTTCATCAGTAAGGATCATTTTTCTGATTTATAATATATATATATATATATATATATATATATATGTTATAAAAAGAAAAAATCTTAAAAACTTGCGAACGAAAATATAGAAGAAAAACATATATCTTTCAGATCGTCCGCTAGGCCTTTCTGCCTTCTAGGGCATCTTCAGGCGGATTGATATATATATTTGTGTGAAGTCGGCAACATTTCAGTTACTTATTTGACTGTGATTTGAGGAAACAACCTGTATTAAATTTAATTTTATCTACATGTGTATGTCTCATAAATAATAAATATCTTCAAACAAGCTTGGAAATGCTTTATTATGATTATTTATTTCATGTACATATGTACATTTGTACAAAAATTACTGTGATGACAATTAAATATTTACAAATATGCATTATAAACATCATTGTCTGAATCTGGAAGCCATTTCCCTTTCTTGCAGATAATGATTGATCCTTTCAGTTTTCTCGAATTAATGTTTCTGACGTACCACGATGTGACGGACTTCATAGATGTCTTCACTATTATTCCCGATTTCATTACCTTTGGTATTTTTTTTACACCTATATAGCCAAGTTTAAGGTCCTTGCTATTAACAGTCACATTAACACTTGTAGCATTTTTGTCTTTTGGATTGTCTTCTTCCGACAAAAGTCTGACTGGCACAAATGGACATTGTCTTAGAGCACTCTGCACATCTTTTAAATTTTGCTGGTAATGTTCCCCGTATGTTGATCCTCTTTACTGAATGATGGAAGTGTAATGTTCATCCTCATCACTATTTGGTTCCGAATTACTTTGGTCGTCATCCTCATCACTTTCACTGCTGAAGTCATTAAGTTCAGTCCTTGAAATGGCATTATTTTTTACTTTGCACAAAGATGCTTCCTCCACCAAGACATGAACATTGTTGAACTTGATCCAGAAAGTTCAGATTGTGAACAGGCATACCGGGTAGATCTAGAGCATTGATATGATCAGGTCTCCCTTGGAAAGTTGCTCCTGGAACAATGGCAAATGACTATACTAATACAGCCCAAGACTCCCTTCCAATGCTAAAATTACCACTGACTGCATCTTTGTCAAACTGAAACAAAAGGAAACATTATATAACACACAAAGAAAACTTCGTCATAGAACACCATAAAATAGGTATATGTACAAGCTTATACCGCGTATATAGGCCGCGCCTTATTTATAAATATTGCATGATATTCATCATGGTGAAGGAGGCAATAATATTGCAGAAACAGAAACAGAAATATATAAAACACCATTGCAATACATGCACGCATGTACATGGTGTTGGTTTCCACTGTTTGAAGACCCAATTTATTTATTGGAGAAGTTTTAGTTGTGCAATGGGTCATTGTGATTGTACGTTTGATAGAAATAATCGGTTTTCAAAAAAATATATATTTCCCAATAAATCGCTTCGTTTTTTCTTGGATTTAACTTAGAAAAATAAAAAAACATATCTTAAAATTACAAGAATTGTTGACTAGTAGCAAGGCTGGTGACGTTTTATTGGTGAGTGATGACTCCAGTAACTCGTCGTCGGCGAACAGGATGCAACGTCTAACAACAGTCCTGTTTGCTGGCGCTACGTGTCCTACACGAACTCTTACTTTTATACTTCTCATTTGTACAGTGTAGACATTCCTATTGATACAGAAAAGCCATATTCCAGGGGAATCTAACCAATGTAGTCTGTATTTGCGTACCGTGTGCAAAACGAAACACCTCCTTTGCGTTATAGGCTAAATCAAGGGTTGACGTTACGTTGATGGATTGTTGACGTGTCGTAATCGTATTGTTAACGTGACGTCATACCATTGTTATGAATAGGGAAATCCCCCCTCCTCAACCCTAGGGTGAGACTAAGGGAGTCCATCCCTTATATGAAGTATTGATAAGGTCATTCAAACCCAAGGGATGAAATATTGAGCAGGAGACCCGAGGGTCTTCTGCACAATATTTTATTCCGAATGTTTGAATGACCTTTGCCGTACCTTACATCAGGAATGGATTCTGTTTCTTGCTTATTAGATAAAACCCGCAAAAACAGCTGCTCTTCTAGTGAAGTTGTAAACTGTCCATACATTTCTCATGTGCATATAAAGGACGGATGGCAATTGTTAATGACGTTAATGACTCTGACTTACCCCAAAAAGTCATTAAATGACGTCACGAACAATAGCGTGATCCAGCAAGTTCACTATAAATCCTTCGCCAATCTGCACGTATGAGCGATCCAGACACTTCAGTCGAATAGAATTTTCCAGCACCGCTGGAAATGCGAATATGACGGTCTAGTATGCAAGAAAAGGATATATCAAACTGGTTAAAGTGTGGATATACTTGTCGAGGGTAAGGAAAAGATTTACCTCAATCGTAGGGAATTTAACTTTTTATCTCATTTAAATGATAGCACGTACAGAAATAAAATTGGATGACGTTATTTAGTTGTTTGCTTTTAAGGTCACATGTTATTGAATGATGAATTCATAGATGATAAGAAGTTTGCCAGAATGGGATTTATTACATTTTAAAATCTCTGACTTTCACCAATTTAATTTATGAAGCCAGCGATGAAAGATAACTTTATCTTAAATGCCCGTGTCACTACATATGACTTACCTTAATACTGTACCGAAAGACCCATATGACCTATAATAGATAAGGCCAAGTAATACCTTAACATAGGACAGCTGGAACAGGTGATCTACGACAGTCAGACTTAAAGCAGATTAGCTGACAAGGTAAGTTCTCAATCTCAGTTTGACAAATTTGTTTATAAACGTTCAATGTTTGCAAGTTGATGTCGATGGTTGAACAAACACATGTACACACAAGCATGCTGTAAATGCATGAGGTTTTTTTTATGTCGTACACGTTCACTTAACAGTCCAATTACTCAACATGCATGCTTGAATTAAAGTTTCTGTTTTCTTTATTCGCAGATGACGAGAATACTTACGTACATCGTAGCCTGTCTAACGGTTACATCAATCGCTGCTACTTTTGAATGTTTCTGTAATTTTCTACATCCTGAATACTTTGTTCTGCCGTGCGCTGACACTCTCCACCGCCCGATTGGGACAATAAATATGCCTGACCATGTCTTAAACAAGTTCTATGCTTATGATCTCAACGATCGGTACTGCAAGGCAAGACTGGCGGGGGTACAGGCGCCACAGGGATACGAAGCCATTCTGCACTATGGACAGGTACTGACGATAACATTGAGTCTTGTAATGACAACGGATCCTTACATTGACTGGTAATAATTGTGTTGTATAATAGGTAATACGCCTATTCTCTTAATACACTGTTTACCATGCGTTGTTTTTTTCCATGTTTTTGAGACGCCTCGTGTGTTACAATGTACCAACAATATATTTTGTTACGAAAAAGTATTTGTGCTCAGTCGATAAATAGTCTTAAAGTAACAGTACCATAGACTTTAGTTGTGAAAAAGAGGTACAAATCGGAGGCTTTTTGGCTTGGAGCATTTTTTCTTGGGTGTATGAGATCGTGGGAAGATTTTCTGAGCGAGAAGTAGTTCCCCTAAGGAAGTTTTCTTCTTCATTTTGATATTTGATAATTCAAAGATAATAACATTGGTAATGTGAAGGGTTGTATAGTCAATGTAGGTATTTAATTATCATTGTTTTTACAGCAGCTATTCTGTAAATGGAAAGTAGGACTACTTGCGTTTGTTTATTATTGTGTTCGTTTTGAGTTTTTTCCGGGTTTTGTTATCTGCATAAAAAAGGTCATGATAGTCTCCTCGGTAGTGAGATATATTTTAAAATATTTACATTTTTGCTGCAACCCAATATATGAGCATTACCAGCAGAAATACATTTCATTTTGAGTATGAAAGCAAAAACTCTCTTGACGTAACATGTGGTTTACTTATGACGTCATAGATTAACCTTGTTCAATGACAAACAGTCTTGTTGCTTCGCTTCGGATAACATGGAGAATGTCCCTGCGTCAAACGCTCAAATGACTACGGTTACATATTGGCACCAATCTTATTGAAATATGACTGTTCCGCCAATGTCGTTTAAAGGACGACTCATATACAAAACGCAGTAAATAATGAATAATTGAAGAACAAAGAACTTAAATTACACCATTGTTCTATAGTTAAATTGTTATTTTATGGATTGAACCACTTTTTAAAAAAACTTTTATGCCGGTATGAAAATTAAAAAAAAACGCCGTTCAGTCCCTATTTGAGAGTACATATACTTAGTCTCTGTAACGTTTTTATTATCGTTATATAGTTTTACACTATTGACATTGTTGGAGTTTTTTTTGGTACTTCATCTTCACAATTTACTTAATTGAACAAATTTTGCTATAGCAACAACTGGAAACGCGGTAAACATGACAAATAATGATATTCGTGTTCACCCCTCATTGGTGTAACGAGTTGAAATATCTGAATTTAAAATGAATGATGAGCTCTTTAGTTTGTGAAATAATTATAACATAATATATAAATAACTCGCAAGTATAACAAATTATGTAAATAAAAATTGGATCGAAAACAGATTTTTACAGTTTGGTTTATGGTTTTCGATTTAAACAGTTTGATAGCAATCGTAACCACGGAAATCGTGACCCTGTTTACGCGGGCACAGTCTGTAAAAGAATCTGAAAAAAATAAAAATAAAAATGATTTTTCTGCTGTTTAATATTAGCAAACAAACATTTTTTCCGTCTTTATTAGTTTGTAAAATACTCATCATGTAAAGTATAAAGAATACATTAGGTAAAGTATATATAAAACATGATGTAAAGTAAAAATAATAAATCAGGTAAAGTATATACAATACATCATGTAAAGTATAAATAATACATCATGTAAAGTATATATAATACATCAGGTAGGTAAAGCATAAACAATACATCAGGTAAAGTATACAGAATACATCATGTAAAGTATATATAATACATCAGGTAAAGTATACAAAATACATCAGGTAAAGTATATATAATACATGATGTAAAGTATTTATAATACATCATGTAAAGTATACAGAATGCATCAGGTAAAGTATACAAAATACATCATGTAAAGTATATATAATACATCAGGTAAAGTATAAATAATACATCAGCTAAAGTATACACAATACATCATGTAAAGTAAAAATAATACATCAGGTAAAGTATATACAATACATCATGTAAAGTATAAATGATACATCATGTAAAGTATATATAATACATCAGGTAGGTAAAGTATATATAATACATCAGGTAAAGTATACAAAATGCATCATGTAAAATATATATTATACATCAGGTAACGTATATATAATACATCAGGTAAAGTATACAGAATACATCATGTAAAGTTTAAATAATACATGATGTAAAGTATTTATAATACATCATGTAAAGTATTCAGAATGCATCAGGTAAAGTTTAAATAATACATCAGGTAAAGTAAAAATAATACATGATATAAAGTATTTACAATACATTTCTGATACGTATTGCACGAGATTAATCACAGAAAATTATCACGCTCGTTCTTCGGGAACAGTCAAACTTAACTTCCTGCTACCGGAAGCAAAAAATAACGCTTTCGGCTGCTTAAATATACCGTTTACTCTACTTACAAAAGAAAAAAGAAAAGGGTTCATATAGAAAGACAAGAGCAAACCAATTGTAGTCCGTGTCACACTAACCCCACAGGTCACACAGAAAAGTTCACAGGTAATCTGTAGCTGCTTTTGTGCATGTCAAATATCATAATGTAAGGAATTTTTGGTAAATTTATAAAATAGTAAGTTAATGTTATTCTACGATCATTTCTAAACCTTTTAGATAAAATCTTTCAAAAGATTACGATACAAATATGTAACCCAATTCCATATTAATGCATGTTCAGAGGTCAAATTCCTCAATATGATACATATACAATCATGAACGATTCACATAATACAAATGTGACCAGTGACCAGTGGTCATTTAAAATTCAATAGGCAAACAAAGACCGGAAGTACACAATACCGCTCAAAGGTTTGGTTGTTTTCTTTTTTCTTTCCCTATACACAAAGATAAACATATGTAATGTAGATAATCTTTCATTAATGATATTTTAATGACACTACCGATGTCAACAATAAATAGAAACATTTTCGTGCCTTTACATGAAATGTTGGATGCTGCTCTCTAGCAGACAAATTGGCTAAATAAGGAGATTCAACTCAAAACTGTTATCTTTATTTATCTACGTCAGTAAGATTTTTTTTTGCGCTGTAAATGTTTATTTAGCCATTACTGGAATGGACATTTTTGAAATGTAATTTAAAAAAGAAGTGTCTTTTGAACTATCTTTTTATATACTGTCATTATTGAAATTATTTAACATGATTACTGTTAAGTTAGTATAGCTACCTAAGTACACCATAGCTAAAACGTTATTATCAAACTTTGCAACGAGGTTTAGAAAAAGACGTTATCACAACGTTGCTTTTAAGTCGCAGACGTTGTGACCAGAATTAAACGTTTTTCAGAATTCTCCGGACGCAGTATGCCCACTACACAACAATTCATAATTGAAAATAACATTACTATGCATTAATATCTGCACTATAGTAGTACTAAATAGTACACATATTTGTTGTAATATATCCCGAAGTATAAGTGCTACACCCACAAAAACAGGACAAAAATTTTCATGTAGTTTCTTCACTGCAATCCATGCATCAGATACGGAATGATGCCTTCATTTCCTGGCCCACGGACTGCTATGGTACCCTTACCAATTTTAATTATTAAGTGTTTTATTGAGTGTTAATGTAAAAAAGTTTAAAACATAGACTTACAAACTTACAACCTAGATACATCCTAGGCACTACAACTTAGTGCCTGCATCAGCTGTTGTGAAGGTCCTAGTTTGTACAGGCCTGTTGCGACTTTTCAGTTTCCTCGTCAACTGTAAGTCTTTGCGTTAAGTTCTGTTTCTCAAAAATATAAAATTGAAGGACCAATTGAACTTGGACTGCTTCGAATACACCAACTTAACATGGATGATATACTCTTCAGTACAAGTGCATCTCAATACCTGTCAAAATGCTGGCTTTGATCTGAGAATTATTTTCTGAATATCTTATCTATAAAAAAATCATTTAAACTTTCCATTATTCTAAATCTATTTACTTTGATATATACAAAATATGACAATAAAGTAAACACTTTCTGATATTTACATTCCAATTTGAATTTGATTTGAATTTGCAAGTTTTTTGAAAAGATCCTACATGGCATATAAGGGACATCATTAAAAGATACAAAAATAAAGATCAGTTTTGTTATATTGTAAAAATATAGATTTTCTATTGATATGTTATTAATATGTTCAAACCACAAAATAAAAGAAGACATTTAACCAAGCATCGTATCAGCATCATAAGCTCTAAAAAATGGAAAGAAAACATTTTGAATATTGAATTTTGTATTAAAAAACATAAAATCGTATGTGATATTTGATATCTTAAACATAATCAGCTTCCGGTTAAAAAAATTAACAAAGAACAATGAACCATAGGTGAAAATACAGGTTTAAAAAAGAAAATGTTGCTAAAACTATTTAGAAACAGACTATAATCCTTCTAACAACATTCCTCTCCCGATTTGATTTAATTAAAAAGTGTAGTTAATGAATGTGTGTTATTTTATCTTTACAGTTGGGTTACCTGAGACTTGACTCCGGATTTAGAGTGGACAGCTGTATTGGCACAGTCATGATCAGTAGAGGTATTGCAGCGTCAACAGGCTAAACTTAGTACTCGCTCTTTAAAAACAACCATATTTCTTCTCACGTGTTATGTAAATATATAATACAATCTATGTTTCTCAGGTGTTATATCAATATATAATACAACCTATGCTTCTCACATGTTATGTAAATATATAACACAACCTATGCTTCTGACGTGTTATAAAATATATAATACAACCTATGCTTCTCACGTGTTATATAAATATATAATACAACCTATGCTTCTCACATGTTATATACATGTATAATACAACCTATGTTTCTCACATGTTATGTAAATATATAATACAACCTATGCTTCGCACGTGTTATATACATATATAATACAACCTATGCTTCTCACGTGTTATATAAATATATAATACAACCTATGCTTATCACGTGTTATGTAAATATATAATACAACCTATGCTTCCTTAATGTTCGATATTAATATCAAGTCTACGACCATTTTTGTTATAAACGTATTTACTTCATTTCGACTTCAGGTCACCTCAACATGTCCGGAAGCTGCACGCACAATATAACAGGACCAATTGGTACGTTAACAAATGGATAAACAAATCCGAAAAAGTATATCAGAATATCATAAATGTTCAACAAACCCTTGAAAGAGGTTATAGCCACTCTAAACTTAATCCCCTCATCATTAATATTCATAAGTTATAAGTAATTTTAATATACTGAACTTGTTTTACATTAGTTATTAGAATACGCCATAGCGAGGTTAACGTAGTCAATAGAATGGCATTAATTCTGATATTTCCATAAAGATAGTACTTTAAACATGACAATATCTTTACCAACCCAACCAAATGCTCCGAAATGACACGTTATCTAAAGTTCATTATTTACCAAGATAATGTAGAGTTAAATTTCTCTTGTATTAGTCGTGGTCTTGCAATCAGAACATTGCTGCTATTGCAATGCACCAAAATCCTATTAACATGCCCGAGTAACATATCGTAGCAGTAGCTATATGTAAACCAAAGGTCAGTGCCAATACCATAACAGACTGTCCGCCATGTTTGTTTCCCACTTCGTCTAAAATGTCGGTATCAGTGTCACCGATGCTGTTGACCATCGCTGTGTCCATGGACTATATTTGAACATTCATTCACAATGCTATCTATGTACTTTACCTACAACGAAATGGACATTCATATTGCATATGAACCGCATTTGAAAGCCGTTTAAAAGCTTAAATGGCAATTTAACTATGGATAAAAAAGATGTCCCAAAACAGAATACCGATATCAGTGACATGTGCAAAGCATTGGACGTGCTTTTTGACAACGAAAGATGAATTCCCGGCACTAACTGTTCCTCAGAATAATAATTACAACATAATTAAGATATAAAGTAAATGCATTTGACATGAGCTTTAGTTTTTTGACTGGTCATACCTGACGTATTTTTTAATATCAACAGAATAGTTATGTTCAGAAAAAATATTGAGAGAAACATTTCATTATGATGGGCCACCGTTGAATACAGTATTTCTGGATCGGACAAGAAAAATGTATCGGACATGTCAATTTCTGCCTTGGGCACACGGTACGAGCATCCATTTGCATACGTTAAATGTCGTAGGAACATATGAACATTTCTTTCTTTTCAACGTTTCCATACGGCGGAATCGAAATAGACTATTCCATCCATCAGCGAACACAATCGTATTTCCATGTGTAATTATGTCAGTGTAGTTAGAATATATTATACTGATATCATTTGTTCTCAATTTATATTTTACTTTTCGTAGGTTTAGTCAACCTAGGTCCGACAACCCCGCCGACAATCTCCTCAAACACCGTACCAACAAAAGCAATACAACCTGTCGGGAACTGGCATACATTTCCTCAGCCGGTGGTGACTACCCCCCGTCCGACTCACCATTGGATTTTACTTGGAGGAGGTAACTTTGAGACGATAAGTAATGCCTACCATGTAAATAGGACAGAGGATGTCCTCCAAGAAGGCTTTCTAAACTTTGTACCCTGACACTACTTCAGGACAGAACCTCCACCGAGGGTTGCTACTTCTCTTTTCTACCCTCAAAATAGTGAATGCTCCCTTTCTACCCTCAAAATACGGAATGCTCCCTTTTCTACCCTCAAAATATGGACTGCTCTCTTTTCTACCCTCAAATAGTGAATGCCCCCTTTCTACCATCAAAATAGTGAATGCTCCCTTTCTACCCTCAAAATACGGAATGCTTCCTTTTCTACCCTCAAAATACGGACTGCTCTCTTTTCTACCCTCAAAATAATGAATGCTCCCTTTCTACCCTCAAAATACGGACTGCTCTCTTTTCTACCCTCAAAATAGTGAATGCTCCCTTTCTACCCTCAAAATACGGAATGCTCCCTTATCTACCCTCAAAATACGGACTGCTCTCTTTTCTACCTTCAAAATACGGAATGCTCCCTTTTCTACCCTCAAAATACGGACTGCTCTCTTTCTACCCTCAAAATACGGAATGCTCCCTTTCTACCCTCAAAATACGGAATGCTCTCTTTTCTACCCTCAAAATAGTGAATGCTCCCTTTCTACCCTTAAAATACGGAATGCTTCCTTTTCTAACCTCAAAATAGTGAATGCTCCCTTTCTACCCTCAAAATAAGGAATGCTCCCTTTTCTTCCCTCAAAATACGGACTGCTCTCTTTTCTACCCTCAAAATAGTGAATGCTCCCTTTCTTCCCTCAAAATACGGAATGCTCCCTTTTCTACCCTCAAAATACGGACTACTCTCATTTCTACCCTCAAAATAGTGAATGCTCCCTTTCTACCCTCAAAATACGTAATGCTCCCTTTTCTTCCCTCAAAATACGGACTGCTCTCTTTTCTACCTTCAAAATAGTGAATGCTCCCTTTCTACCCTCAAAATACGGAATGCTCCCTTTTCTACCCTCAAAATACGGACTGCTCTCTTTCTACCCTCAAAATACGGAATGCTCCCTTTCTACCCTCAAAATACGGAATGCTCTCTTTTCTACCCTCAAAATAGTGAATGCTCCCTTTCTACCCTCAAAATACGGACTGCTCTCTTTTTCCAAATGTTCCTATAAACCATGTAAATACAAACGATGACACACATGAGAGCTATGTAAATAATTGTTGATTTGTTTATTGTTTATTTGTTGTTTATTAATATAACACGCTAAGATACAAGTAAATGCTCAATAAAGTCGCAAAAATGTTTCAGTTTCAAGCATAAGCGAACGCTATATATTCCTACAGTGCAGTGCACATGTATTAATCCCAGTATAACGCACCCAATTGTGCTGGTTGGACACACCACGTCCTGGACGAGTGAATCATAAATATGGGTTTAACCTTATATAAATATGTGCTTTGTTTTGCTCATGATATTGGTTTGTTATTTTTGAAGTGTATTGATTTAAGTGCATATCTGATTGTTTTCCTCAATCCATAGCTATAATTAAAACTCATCCCAAGATCCCCACTTTGCAAAGTTGAAATATTTTTGTATTCCATCGTAAAATATCAAGTAATATAAATAAGGTAATGCATCATTTCAACAAAGATTTTACCACCTATTTAACATAAAAAATAAAATGTGAAAGCTAAAATAGAATTATTGTTATCCCTTTTAAAAGCCAGCAGACCCGGATGTAGGAGAGCAGACATCGACGCAGCCATTCAAGGAGGAAAATCAATATACCACTCTGACGCCAGAGTCTGTGGACACGGAGGTGTGTCGTTTGATGAATCTGTCCCACTGGCCTTCTGCAGTATAAAAGAACGTGTGCAATGGAAACAATACCTACAGGTACAAATGCATTTTTTATTCTGTAAGGATTTAAGATAAAAATTAAAGAGGGTCATTGCTATTTAGTTTAAAACAATAAACAAAAAGAAAGGCATTTCATATCTTTGATGATATGGCGTGTATCGCTACTATAAAAAATTAGGAAACGTTGTTTAAAGGTCTTAACATTCGTTTAACCTTGGAAGTAGGTCAATATGTTCTACTTGAAAAAAAAACCGAGATAACCCATTGGTTTGGGAAATAATCATCTATATAGACTCTAAAAGCACTATTGTTATTTAACACAATTCACCTTGTAGCCTTCTACATTGATCACAAACATAGTGCATCCCAAACCCGTCAGTGTTCTACAGATATTGACCGTGGGAGTGGTCAGTCATCGATAATCACGTAATACGCACGCGATAATATTCGTCTCACCAACTGTTTGTCAAACCTATCAACCACCAGCAAGAGAACACCAAAGTTTCAACAACTGCGAATCGAAGCCAAAATTGATTAACTATGGCAAAATATACACAAAGAAACGATTTACATTGAGGCCCGTGAAAATTAAAAATTAAAATAAGACAAGGTGTTCTGGAGGGAATCACGGGAATCTTGATATAAGCTCTTAACTACCGAATCGATACCAACATGAACAAACGTAGGCTTGGGGGAACAGGGTTGTTACCGTATGATAGGCTTGGGGGAACAGGGTTGTTACCGTATGATAGGCTTGGGGGAACAGGGTTGCTACTGTATGATAGGCTTGGGGGAACAGGGTTGTTACCGTATGATAGGCTTGGGGAAACAGGGTTGTTACCGTATGATAGGCTTGGGGGAACAGGGTTGCTACTGTATGATAGGCTTGGGGGAACAGGGTTGTTACCGTATGATAGGCTTGGGGGGAACAGGTATGTTACCGTATGATAGGCTTGGGGGAACAGGGTTGTTACCGTATGATAGGCTTGGGGAAACAGGGTTGTTACCGTATGATAGGCTTGGGGGAACATGGTTGCTACTGTATGATAGGCTTGGGGGGAACAGGTATGTTACCGTATGATCGGCTTGGGGGAACAGGGTTGTTACCGTATGCTAGGCTTGGGGGAACAGGGTTGTTACCGTATGATAGGCTTGGGGGGAACAGGGTTGTTACCGTATGCTAGGCTTGGGGGATCAGGGTTGTTACCGTATAATAGGCTTGGGGGAACAGGGTTGTTACCGTATGCTAGGCTTGGGGAAACAGGGTTGTTACCGTATCATATCTCCGTTTGCCTTCTTGGAAAATAAAACTCACAAATACGTCCCTTCAGTTTGATATGATGAATGGTAGTGTAATGAGTTCAAACGTTCTGACCGAAAACAATGGTGTTGAGGAAACGATGCTTAGTATTGAAGTACTAATCTTTTGAGTCATTCCATGAATTCTACATCTAGCCCAAAGTAGGGTGGATAGATATTTTGATAATGGCTTCTTTGATAATCTAGCAGAGCCAGTAATAAAATGTGAGTGTTTTAACTTGTCTAGTGAAGCTATAGAATCAAGTACAAACGAGGAAGGGCATTAATCGGTATTTGATAAGACTGCTCTACAGAAGAGTTATGAGCTAATATTTCATCATTCGAAAAAAATGGAAACCTACAGAAAGGAGGTACGGCTTTGCTCCGCTTGTTCCAGTCTACTCACAGCTGTAAATGAGTACGTGGTTGGGCAGTGCTAAAATTGTTGAATGCTAGCTGTGTGCGCCGAAATGGCAGCACCAGCTGTATGCTCCCCAGGGAGTGGAGAACGATGTTGGCTGGTTGCAAAGGCCCTATAACCATGGATAATAATGTGTGAAGAGCTTTGAGACGACCTACGAACTAGGTTGTGATAAAGCGGTAAAGAACCTCGAATTATTATAATTATCATTATTATTAAAGGGCTTCTGTTGTAGGATACAACTGATGTAAACGGCAAATAATTTGACTTTCTCAAAATTAAGAGCTACAGGAAGATCAAAGAGTCAAATTTGACAAAAGTTTCTGAAGTCTCCAAGCTAACTTCCAATTATCATCAGAAATAGTGTGAGTAGAATCTTTCTGTAAAGTTTGAAATACAGAGAGATGAAGTAAATAAATTTTGGTTCAAATATGGTAAACACTCAATGGTTTCGCTAGAAATTATAGGTATTTAAATGTAACATTAGGTATTGGACTGTTTACGTCACCTATACAGAGCGAAAAATAAGACATTTCACTTGTAAAACTGCATCCTTGACTACAGGTGGTATACGTTAACGTCTTTTCTCCATTTCGTTTATTTTTTTCTAGATCAGTATCAGTACAAAATGTAATAAGTAAGTGAACTAACCTCGGCAAAAAGTTGAAATTATCAGTTTTGTTGCAATTGCATTTAATTTGTTGCTTAAAGTGTTGGTTTATAAATTTGTCAAAATGTCGCAGAGATTCGATAAATTTGACATCAACACAGGTTCAGTTACGTTCGAAAGTCACATACATTGTATCGCGTATGACCACCATTTGCGCCAGAAACAGCGTTGCTGCGTCGTCGTATTGAACTTGTGAACTGACTGATAGAGGAGAGCGGCGATGTTGTCCCATCCATTGGCCAACACTTGGGCCAGCTCTTGCAAGTTAGACGTCTGATTTTGATGTTTTCTAACATGTTACACAAGAATATCTCAAAAATTCTCTGTTTGCGATAAATTGGATGATTTAGTTTGCTAATCCAACATCTGAATATGTGATTGCTGCTGACGAGACTAGTTTGTAATCTGGTTTTTAAAAACATTCTATTATTTCATCAGCGCCATGACGTTGAAATACGCAAGTACCGCTGTCCTATAAAGTTCGCCTTGATAGTGCAACCCTTCACATACTGTTACTGCCACAAGAACCAATCCAAAACGGTCCCATTCAATGACAGTTCACAAAGTGCTCACCATGACGTCTCATGACTCTGTGCATCCTATCACGAATTGACAAACAGATTTTGTACTCGTCAATAGAAAAAGAGCAGTGTTCATTATGGTAAGGGTGTGTGCAAATGACCTTTCATTTTCCGATCGGTCAACCAAGACGGCCGCCACGGCCTCTGATTGGTCGAAATTAGACATTCGCCGAGTTTGCTCTAATTTGGTATGTAGGTGAATTTTGGCACTGCGAACTCAACTGCGTCATCCGTGTTCTAATTTGACACAATGGCTGCCGTATACTGGCTTCTATTATTATAACGATCGGTCAACTAAAATGGCCGCCACGGCCTCTGATTGGTCGGTATTAAATATTTGTCGATTTTGCTCAAATTTGATATGTAAGTGTATTTTGCACTGCGAACATAGTTGAGGGGGTGTTTGGAGAACATCTGTTATGGTCCCCATTACAATAAGTACTCGTTATATTATGAAGTCATCTTGTTATGTTTTGATGACTCTCAAATTTCTTCCACTTTTAAAAGTGACTCAAGTGTATTGTCTTAACATTTCCCTGACGGTGTTGATATAAACGTTTAATAATATTCAATTTATAAAAACATATTTATACATATGACTTTGATACAAAATGTATACATACACTTATTTTCATTGCTATTTTACATGTATGTATAATAACTGTTTTGAAGACTAGTAGCTTAACTCAAAATATTGTGATAAATCCTTTTCCTCAATCAGGTTTTGTGTCAAAAACTGTATATGAAACAAGTACTCCAAGTAAATCTCCAAATATGATAACTAAAGATAACACATTTGGTTTAACCAAAAAAGGAATAAGCATATGTTTTTCAAATATTTGTCATCTTCAACCAAAACTTGATGAAGTCCAAGTAGCATTCACCAATGAAAATCAAAATGATTTGATATGTTTCTTGTGAAACCTTTCTAAATAGAAATGTTACAACCTGTGAACTTAACACCGATGGTTTTACAATTGTTCGTAGAGATAGACAAATAGATGAATGTGGAGGGGTCTCTTAAGATATATAAATGAGAATGTTTGTTTCAATAGAAGGAATGATTTTGAAATGAACATGGGTATGGAAACAATTTGGCTGGAGATTATGATACAGCAAACGAAGCCGTTTCTCATGTGCTTTGTTTACAGACCACCCAGTGAAACAAATGAATGGATAAAATGGATGCAGAGATGACACAGGCATTAGATTATTAAATATTGGCAGAATTGTGTATCTCACTATTGTTTAACGCAAATGATTTCTGAACCTACAAGAATTACTGAAAAATCGGCCACACTAATTGATCACATATATTGTTCGAATCCGCGGTTAATATCTGAAGTAAAGGTTTCTAAAATTTCAATAAGTGACCATTTTTCAATTTGCTTAACGAGAAATTCTAAACTTAAAACAAAATATGCAAAAAAACAACACAAACTGATTATTTATAGATACTTCAAAAAATTTGATAGCTCCGTTTTTGCTATATAATCTAAACTAAAGATTTTTAGAGACTTTTATAGATACTGGAGGAATCAAACAATTTTTCTTAATGAAAAAGCAATGTCTGAAATGTTCAAGAATGCTGTCAAAAACAAACAGGATACGTCTTTTTTGTGGAATCATTTAAAGGCTTTAAATGGAAATGACAAAAAAGATACTTTTTCATCCGAGATAATCTCATTAAAAGACATGAAAATAACTGACACAAAAGTTAAAAAAGAGTTTAAATGACCACCTTGTTAATATTTCGCAAATTATTGATCAATCTCCATTTAACGTAGAGTATTTTTCTAGTTTAAAAATCCATATCAATGAGAAACTCCAGAAAAATTGATTGTTTTTACATTACCCCAATCAATCAAGAAGAAATTATTAAACATATTGTTAGATAATACCCTAGTAATGCTACCGGAATTTATGGTATTGGTCCAAAAATCCTCAAATTAAGTAAACATATTATTGCTCCTTCGCTTACTCATTTAATCAGTCTTAGCATTTTTACAGGAATATCTCCTAATAAATTAAAAGAAGCTTATCGTATAAAATAAAAATCTTGCTT